TCTTTGGGAAATCCATAGCAATGACAAACAAATGCCAGGTCTGCTTTAGTGTGTGTTCTAGAGCCGAGAATGTTGTTCATGTTTTAGGCTTTCCACGTCATTTTCCAGAAACCACAGATTTCTTGAACAGTTTTGTCCAGTACGCCAAAATACAATTCCGTATAGTAACCCATACCTGAGTCAGCATCTGATCTAGTCACTGTCACTTTGCTGGTGTTGCATCTGATTAAGTTCCCCTTCAAATTTACATTCCCCTTCACAACAAATGCCCCTGAGGGCTTGATTTGTGAAGGGAAATGTGAATTTGAGGGGAAACTGAATCGAATACAACACCTGACCTCCATGGACACTGTGGGCCTCGGTAGTTGTTTTGTCCCCACAAGTCAAATGTATGTTCCTAGAGTGTTTGAATGTCGCTATCTGCAAGCAGAGTAGAGACTGTGCTGCTAGCTAGGCTCTTGAACGCCGGCATAATTTAAACATGATGACTGCAGTGCTTTCGATAGTACATGACATTGAATGAAAACTCGTCACATCAGAATGCAGGCTGCCCCCTAGTGTCGCAGAGATCAGTCTCTATACACAGTAGATAGTTTTGACAAATGTCAATATTCCATAATTAATGTTAGTTAATGAACATTTTAGTGGGCAGAAAATGCCCCCCTTGCCCCCCCAAATGTTAACCCATGCCTATCAATGTGTCATAGGACAACACCTTCCCAACAAGGCAGTTTGTCACATTTGTTCTGCCCTGCCAGAGCTGCCCCGGTCAACTGGGTTTCCACAGCGGCTGAACAGCCACAGACAAGCCTTAGATCAACAAGTGCAATGCAAAGCATCAGCTGAATGGATATGAATCATACTTCCACTGGACTTCCAGTGGAGACACATTCTCTGGAGTGATGCATCATGCTTCACCATCTGGCAATCTGCAAAAAATGTGCACAGTTTGGTGAAGGAGGAATAATGGTCAGGGGCTGTTTTTTCAAGGTTTGGGTCAAGCCCCTTAGTTCCAGTGGAGGAACATCATAATAATACAGTATGCAATGACATTGCAGTGAACGGTGTGCTTCCAACTGCCCTTTTCTTTTTCAGCATGACAGTACCTTCATTCTCAAAGTAAAATCCATAAGGAAATGGTTTTGTGTGGAAGATCTTGTCTCCAGCCATTCTGAGACAATAGACAAATTAACCCCAATCATAGTCAGATTAAAAATCCCCATTCTTTCCGACGCAGAAGGAAACGGCATCGCAATGATCATACAGTAGCCTTGTAAGTCAGGAACCCTGCTGGAACTGAGAATGCAGACCTGACAGCTGTTAATTAACCTGCTGTCAGTCGTGTTATGCAACAGAAGCTGTAAAAGACAGTGATCTCCGGGACACCAGGCACCAGGACAGACGATGATTAAATAAAAGGTCTACAGTCTAAAACCAGGAAAGTTTGCTCTAATGAGGGTTCAGTACCTTGTCTAGATTAGATACAGTGAGTCATGACTTGAAGCACCCAGTGCTGAGGTAAAACATTTCCGTATTCTGTGCCATTTGTGTCCCACTGACACCTCACTAGCAAATATTTAAGTAACGTAAAATGAACATATTGCGATCTTCACAATAACCTATGTTTGTTTCAGATATATAACCTAAAACCTTAATAAAACCTACATAACGCACTTGCATTAATGTGTTAAACCATGTAGCATCTCATACTTGAAACATGTATTTTCATAAGTCATCCATTATACACTGTAAAAAATGGTCCAAAAACTTCTTCAGTCATCTTTAACTGAAACACTGGTTCTTTCGAAGTATTTATTAGTTAAATACAACTATACAAAAATATAATGGTTCTTCAAGGGTTCTTTAGTAAAGAAAATGGTTCTATAAAGAATCATGAACACTCAAAGAACCCTTTTGCATTGTGAAAGGTTTCTTCAGATTGATGGAGATTTTGCTGTGGAAGGTTCTATATGGCACCTAAAGGGTTCTTCTATTGTTGCGATGTCAAGCTTGTAACAATAGAAGAACCCCTTTGGGTGCTATATGGAACTTTCTACAGCACATCCATGCACATTTTCCATCAATCTGAAGAACCTTTTTATGATGCAAAGAAACCTCTAATCATGCGAAGATTCTTGAAGTGTTCATTGGTTCTATATAGAACCATTTCTTTACTATCAAACTTTTGAAGAATCATTATTTTTAAGCGTGTAGTTAATGAACTTGTTACCACATGAAGTGACTGTTTTAAGCTGAGCTGATGAACCATTTTTAAGTGTAGATTAAGAAATTGGTCAGCACAAAAATAGATACTGAGATATTGCTCCTGAGATGAGCTCAAGCATTTTTGAATGGTTAAAAATAGTTTTCTTAGACTCAGTGTTAAAATGAATCAAAGTAATAATGTTTTAATTTTCAACTAACTTGCTCTGGTTTGTTTTCAGCAGATAGCTACACTCTGTACTTTTAAATCTGAGCTTGTACTTCAGTTCATGATGGACCACTGAAGGTTGTTCAAGGTTCTTAATAATTATGCTTTTTGTACGACTGCTTTCTAGCTCTCGCTGCACACGGCCTTGAGTTTTCACACCTCATTGCTTCAAAGCTGGTCAACTTGACCCAGACAGATCACAACCTGTGACTGCTGTAATTTTAAACAAGGGGGTTTATTTGTCCTTGATGAGGAACACTGGCCAAAAAAGGTAATGTGTTAGCCAGGTTTCCATGGTCACAAATGTGTTTTCAGAGCCGGAGTTCTGAGCTAACAAATATATAAGTTTTATTACACACTTCTATAACCAGGAATAGCTCAGCCAGTAAGTCCCTGTAGTTCCTGAATGATCAGCCTTAGTATGCAATAACACTGGGATTTTAAAGGGTTAAATAGATGAAGTACATCAAAATTCGCAGTCCTGGATATTCTACAGGGCCCATACATTTCCTTTTATCCCCTCATCTGTGTCTATTTAGCAGATTTTTTTTTAAATTTAACACCAACTTCTACATTATGGCCAAGTTATTTTAAAAGTACATTGACGTGTAAGGTAAGCTGTCTGTTAATGAGCTAATCTGAAATGAAGTACAATTTATAAAGTGTAGGTTTGTAGTGGGGGGCAGGAGGTGAAATACCCCTTAGAACAGCTGTGCTCTCCAAACGCGCGTGCTTGAAATTGAGCAATTGTGTTTTTGCGCCATCTAGCGGACGGGTGCGGCAGCGCAATAAAGAGCGAGAGAACCGCAGCAGTGAAACGGGCTGCTCTCTCTGAGGCCCTGAACATGTGGCTGCTGCTCGTAAAGTGAGACTGGATCAGACGATGACGCGCTTAGAAAAGAATGGAACAAACATAATCTATGATGTCGTATCAATATCTTGAGATTGTCTTGTGATTTCAAGATAAACAAAGTTGTTTCCTTGATATAACAACTTATTTTTCTTGTGATCTCAAGATAATCAAGTTATTTTGAGAAAACAACTTGTGTTATCTAAAGATCACAACATTTATAATCTTGAGATCACAAGACAGTTAAGTCGTGATCTCAAAATAACAGTCCAGAACATTATAACTACTCCGGATTTCTGTACTATTAAGGTTTTAACCTTAGATACATATTTAAGGAGAATTCCACCAATCTTTTAAAATTTCTCCATAATTCAGTTCAAAATTCATTCAGAGTGTTTTGATGTGAAAGGGTTCATTGTAGAGACACTTACCTCTCCACCATGAATGGATTGTTTACAAAAAGTAAATTTTAGGCCAAAAGCTTATCTCAAAACGAACGTAAAACAATGTATCAGACATTGAGCAGCGTATTCATAACCATTTCACGTAACGAACTGTGAGGGAGCTTTTAGGTGCGTGAAACTCTTCAGACGTCTGGTTCCTATCACCCCCACTGTGAACAATTCTGACTGGGTAAACTTCTCTAGAACGGAGCGTTTCACACCAAACCACTCTGACAGACTTCGTTTACATTTTAACACTTTATTTATGCGTAGATTTGAAAATGTGGGTGGAATTCCCCTTTAAGACGCTTCATGCACGCAGCCACAGTTTGGCGATGAAGAGCCGGTCGCCCTTCGAATCAGAGCAGGTTTAGAAGTGGCCAAACGGCGCGCAGCAGTTTATCCAGCAGCTGGATAATATGTTCTCACTGAAACAATACATTCAGCTCAGCTCACGTACTCAACACAGAAGGCAACGAGCTGCTCAGAAAGATACATACATACATACACACATCATCTAAACCGCTTATCCTTCTGGGTCGCGGTGGGGTGCTGGAGCCTATCCCAGCTGTCATTGGGCGGAAGGCAGGATACACCCTGGACAGATCGCCAGTCCATCGCAGGGCAGACAGACAGACATACACAATCACACCTAGGGGCAATTTAGCGTGTCCAATTGGCCTGACTGCATGTCTTTGGACTGTGGGAGGAAACCGGAGTACCCGGAGGAAACTCCACACAGAGGGGACCCCGGTCGCCCGGCCGGGAATCGAACCCAGGCCCTTCTTGCTGTGAGGCGACAGCGCTACCCAGCGGCACCGTGCCGCCTGCTCAGAAAAAGCTCGTGAAAAAAAAGTTAAAGCCAAGAAAGTTAGATGCTCCTCAAACTTCATTCATAAGATGTTATACAAATGTAGCCTGTTATGTCTTCACTGTATCTTTTTGTGCAACACTGATTGCAGTTTACTGTGTCTGTGTTTTTTCAACGCCACCACAAGAGGGAGCTGTTGATTTGACAGTCATCAGCCAGCATTAAACATATACTGTACATAAACAGACCACTTGATGTAAACTCAACAGACACTCAGCCTTAACTAATCTTAGAACCTAGAACCCAACTCCTAACAAAACCCGGGTTTGAAAAAAGGATAAATCAGAATAATTTGAAATGTTTTGGAGGGGAGAGTATTTAGGCACAGTGCGCATGCGCGGTTGTCAATTAAGCCCTGGGGACGTTCCCGGGTCGTTGGCTCGTGCTGCGCAGACTCAGAAGAGTGTTTAGCTGTTTTCAGTAGACGGCAGTGGCTGACCGACTGACTCTGCTCTGTTCTGCTCTTCCAACTGGCAAGAGCTCAATGGCTGTGGAGGGCGCAGGGGGAAATGGAGTGGATCTGAAGGAACGCGCCGGCTGAACCAAAGGGATTTGTATCACTTGAGACGGATTTACAGCCTCTTCCAGGAGAGAAGGAGAAGGTAACTCATTTCTAATGGCTGAAACTGCATGAAGTTGTGATTATATGCAAACTGCGTGATTTTTTTTTTGTTCTGTGTCACCTCCGGTCACACTGGTCACGCTGAGCGTAACAGCATTTGGACATATATATCTTTTTGATGTTGAAGGTTTGGGGCATTTGAAGTCATTCATTTGGCTGGACGCAGACTAAGTTTAAGCCAGAGCATTTCACGCCGTTGATTGGGGAGTTTAGGGTCTAGACGACCACTTGACCCCTTGTTACCTCTGCAAACAGCTGCTTCAGGTCAGAAGATGGTCTAAAAGTCATAAAAGTCACAGAAGTGATCCAGAGTAAAGCTCAGGCGACAGGTAGGTTGTAGCATTGACTCTGCCTGCTGTTGATGTTCCATGCTGTAGTAAATCAGCAGAGCTGCGCTCATCTCTTCCTCTGAAAAGGAAATAAACAGCCTGACTTGCGAGTTTTATCTCACTGTCTCTGCAGACTCTGTATCTAAACAGTTTTCTGGTTAATTGGGTCTCTGTGGGCGACAAACAGCTCAATTTGGGAAGACTCAGGTCCACTGAGAGCTGAGGTTAAGTAGGTAAAATCTCAGGCAAACAAACTGTAACTTCATGAGTCCTGTGTTCTCCTATAGGTTTGCCCTTCAGCCTCTGCAAGGCTGGATAATATCTTTGTTTGTAAAGTTCACAATTAAAAATGATGGTTCTTCAAGGGTTCTTTAGTAAAGAAAATGGTTCTATATAAAACCATGAACACTCAAAGAACCTTTTGCATGATTAATGGGTTCTTTGTATTGTGAAAGAGTTCTTCAGGTTGTTGTAGAACCTGCTTTAGATGGTTCTACACAACCTTTTTGTAAAGCGTTCTATATAGCACCAAAAAGGGTTCTTCAAGTGTGTCAAGCTTGACATCGCAACAATAGACTAAGTATTTTTGGTGCTATATAGAACTATCTACAGCACATTCTCCCACAATCTAAAGAAACCTTTCATGATGCAAAGAACCCTTTAATTGTGCAATGTTCATGGTTCTATATAGAACCATGTTCCTTACAAGCCCTTGAAGAACCATCTTTTCTTTTTTAAGAGAGTAGGGGAAAGAGAAGGTTTGACTGTAATTGGTGCCTCAGTAGACAGACTGCTTATTTCATGTATTGCACATATATGGATATGTTTATAATATTCTAGTACTTTTCTTGGAATTCTTCAGGGAATTGATTTTATTTTTGTCAGTGTAAAATGGGATTGGTGCCTTATAGAGCTTATAGAGAGGTTTGCCTGGCCTTTTTTGAAAGAAGAAGGTAAACTCTCCAGTTCATGGTCAGTGCTGCAACATGCTGGTGCTGGAACACTGTTCTGCAGAACAACGAAGCATACAGCAAAGCATACATTGAAAATAAACATCAGTAGAAAGCAAGATGTCCACAGACTTTTGATGGGCAGTGTACTATCTGCTGATAGTTAACTTCACCAGTTCTGACAGTAGGGTGAGACCTTAGATGGTTGTGCCACTGGGAACCCAATTGTTCAAATTTTGTGCATAATTAAATGGTTAAAATTAAAATAAAGTCATCCAGAGGGGTTTAATGTGAAATGCTCAGTCCTAGAGAAGCTTACTTTGTCCAGAATTGTTCGCAGTGGTGGTGACAGGAAGCAGATCTCAGAAGAGTTTGAAATCTTCCCCACAGAAAACTTATGACACAATGTTTATGAATACACTGCCTGATGCCTAAGAAGGCTACAAAACATATATATTTTAATCTTTTCATAGCATGCAGGGCATTATATATCACTTTTAAGTGATTTGTTTTACCATTATCTGCATTACATATAAAAAAAAAAATGTTTCAAATTCTGAGTTTCTGCTGTTATTTGAGTAACTTACAATTCAGAACAATCATATCAGTCAGAAAAGTACTGTTTTTGCATAATGTTCTCCATCTAAAAGTACATGGAGCAGCATGTAAACCCAGTTAGCAAAGATGACATGCTTGACACAAACATCACACACAATGCTTTTCAGCACTGTTGGCTATTAAAAGGAAGACTCCAGACTCTAAGCCTTTCAGACTGCAGAAAGTTCAGAGGGAAGCGTGCTAGAAATTGTTGACCTCTTGTCCAGCTTCACAGGCTGTATAATGGATCAAAACTAAGATGTAGCAGTTCAGTGCCTCCATGCACACTGAGTTGTGTTAAAATGCTTTTGGAGCTTTTGACGTGCTTCTGAAGCTCTACATCTTCATTCAGAGTCACCCAAAATAAACAGCTCTTGTCTTTATCTCAAGTCAGCAGAGTGGAAGTGTGTCATGGATGCACTTTCTATGGTTCAGTCAGTAAGGAAAACGTTGGGAAAGAGGCTTGGGGTCACTGTAACCAAGGGTCAGCCATTTTCTTTCAATTTCCCAGATGCTTTTGTGAGTGAATCAGAATGTAGGGCAATATTGGCCTAAGGCAAATTAACCCTCTAACCAGTCACTACTTTTCGGCTTATCTGTGGATCATGTGCTTTAAATGAGTGTCCTGTGGGTATTTTAACTGTCACATTAATGGTTTACCAGTGTGTTTTTAAAGGGCTCCTGTTCTGCATTTTACTCACATTCTGTTATTATCTCTGGTCTCATCTTATCACATTTACATGTGGGTTCTTGTACCACAAACAGTTAATTTTTACATGACCATTTTCCAACCTGTCTTTATCCCTTTATCCCCAGGCTTTTTGATACTGTACCTCTAAGACGGATATATCGCAATGAGCTTTGTTCTGATTGGCTGTCCTGTATTGTGTTGCATTCAAAAAGAAGTTCAAGCTGAAACACTTATTATAACTTTAGTGTGAAAGGGGTGGAGCTAAACTGCTGCAGGCTGAATTGGTGGTCATATGTAAGTGCATTCGTTTTATGGTGTCACAAATGCAGTGAATCCCAAACAGCTGTTTCTGAAGTCCAGTTTTCATGTATTGATTGGAAAGTGAAAGGCCTGTTTTGAAATGTAACTGAGTTCACATACAATGTCACTTATTTAAAAAAAAAGAGGAAAATGTGTTTTTCGATAATAGTGCCACAATTAAAAAAAAAAAAATCAAAAACTATGAATACAGGAATACATAATAAGGGTCATTTTGGCTCAAAATTGTGCATACTACTCCGGCAAATCCGGTCAAACAGGACAAATAATGTTCTCTTTGTAATGAAACGTGCAGGTGGTCAGTGTGCTGACAATGTTCATGAGATGCTTAGAAAACACATAATGATAAAGCATTGTTGTATATCCCACCCTTATTTTAATACATTGCAAAGTCTAGTCATATCACAACTGCTTTATAATGTCAATGTAGTGTTTTACTCATATTGTGCAGCTTTATTGTAATGTGATTTTTGGTTTGACTTGGTTTGTCAGTTGCAAGTTATCTAACACCTCTTTACACATGATTCTCCCCCAAAAGACCATTGATTTAGAGTTTCCATGGTGTTCTTAGACTACAGAAGTGGAGTGTGACTGTGTAGGACTACCATAATAGGAAATACAGAGATGTGGACAGTGACTTGAAGATGTTGCTTGGCCAGCTTCATCCTGTTTTACTGCTGTTTCTGTTAAGGATCATCAGTTTTCTAAGCTGTTTGTTGTTCTTGTGCTGGTCGTGTTCTGGGAAAGGATGTATACAGCTTGGTCTCTCTCCATGTGACTGGAGAAGAAAGGAGAGGTTGTGCTCAGTGTCTTGTGTTGGACTCAGTCCGAGGTCTGTGGTGAGGCAGATGTTTCAGGTGGGCATTGTTCTGTCACTTCTCTCAGCCAACACCTTTGGAATGTGTTATCTACTGTAATTGTATTCCGTAGACTTGCACTGTCTGTCCAAAATTTGGGGAACTTTAGCTTTTCAAAATGTTTTTAACTCAAATTAACATGTTACCTTTGTCAGTTTCAGTAACTTAAGCTATTAAAGGCTCATGTTTACATTTCAGGGAAGATATATTACATGTAAATATTTGTGATAGTATTATTAACAGTAATACTTTGGGAATAATGCTAAATCCCACCCATGTTAGCCCCTTGTCATGATGTCAGCGCACAAGCCTTTCAGCTGTTTCAACCACCTTTGGGGCAAAAAGAACACACTTTGGTGAACATGGAGCTAAATGTTGAAAGTATACCCAAAGCCTTAGTAAACAGGTTGATTTATATTAGCTATATTAAAACTTTTGCAGCCATTATTTCTTACTTAAATGAAAAGTAGCACAGAGACACATTGCAAAAGAAAGCAAGCTGTCCTTAAACTTTTGACTGGCTGTGTATGTGAGGTGTGAATTCACATACTTTCAACTTTTCCAGTCAAAATGACCATTAAGTACAAGTTAGTTGTTTTTCTGATTCCATAGAAAAAAGTAGAAAATGTATATTTAACAGAAAATCACACTGAAGCCTCAACGACTAAATATAACAATTTTTCAGTGTTTAGTGTGTCCAACCTTTGCCTTTCAGTCTTTTCTGAAAACTTGCTTTCAGTTTCAAAGAAACCTGCGGGGATATATTTCTATATCTCTAAAGTTCACTCTTAGAAGTTGGTTGCATGTTCTGCTTCTGATGATCCCAGTAATCCTCATTAGAAGATTAGACTTAGCAGTCCATAAAACATACTCCACATCTCAGATGTCCAGTTTTAGAGTTCTGGTGCAGTTTTTTTTGTCTATTTCCTTTTCTTAGTAAGGGCTTCTTGACAGCTACACATGTTTTTAGATCCATAGTGATGAACTGTCTTGTTACAGTGCAAGGATGGGCAGAATAAAGATGATGCTAGGGACGATGAAGACTATTCTATCTGAGTTCAATCTTAGACTCGTAGATTTGTAGTTTGTAGTTTATACAGGAGTTCTCATTGTTTTCAGCTGCTGCCACTGCTGCAGACTTCTTACTAAATAAGCTAAAAAAAAAAAGAAATCACAAAGCCTAGGATTTATAAGCAGGGTTTGGAGAGTTAATTCAAAAGTGCATTGAATACTTGCAA